GGCTGCTGCTCCTGAGGAAACCTGCTCCTGGCTTCCCCTGCACACCCTGTGGGTGAGCTTCTCTGCCCTGCCTCTGCCACCCCTTCCCTGAGGAAACCTGCTCTGCAGGGGTGGGCTGGGTGGGATCATCACCTGGCCTGGCAGCACTCAGCTTGCAATTTGTTCAATTAAATGCCTCTCACACAGAATAAAGACTCAGGGAATTAGTGTTCTGCATCACAGGCCACCTCCCAGCCCCTGCACAGACGATGCAAGTGACACAACACTGACTTACAGCAGCAGCAGATTTGGCCCGTGGTATTAACTGATGAGAAAAAGGAAGGGAAGGACACAAAATGCACAGCTACTTTAACTGTGAAGTGCTGCTCCCACCAGCATCACAGAAGAAGTATTGAAATGTTAGAGGAGAAGGGTCGATCTATTCCTACTTAATCACAGGCAAATATATTTACAAAAATAAATAGAGTCATTAGCTCTAAGAACTGCTGAGTGGAGAGACTTGCATTATTTACATAATGATGCTGTTATTTAGCTAATGTGGATATATCCACATTTAATACACAAAGTGGCTAGCCAGTGCCCTTCATTTTTATCTGTAGGCATATTGTGTTTACTGGTATTTTATTAAAAAACCAAACACACACGTGTAAACTACTCAGAGAATCACAGAGTGGTTTGAGTTAGAAGGGACCTTAAGATCATCTGGTTCCAGCCCTCCTGCCATGCACAGGGACACCTCCCACTAGGTTGGGTTGCTCAAATGCAATCTGGCCTTGAACCCTTCCAGGGAGGGGACATCCACAACCTCTCTGGGCAACCTGTTCCAGCACCTCACCACCCCTGCAGTGAAGAACTTCTTCCTTACATCTAATCTAAGCCTACCCTCTTTTGGTTTGAAGCCATTGCACCTTGTTGTGGCCTTGTTAAGAGTCCTTCCCCATCTTTCCTGTAGGCTCCCTTTAAGTACTGGAAGGCCAATACAACATCTCCCCAGAACCTTCTCTTCTCCAGGCTGAACAACCCTGACTCTCTCAGCCTGGCCTCACAGGAGAGGTGCTCCAGCCCCCCAAGCATCTTTGACATTGTCCTTTGGACTCACTCCAACAGACCCATGTCCTTCTTATGCTGGGGGCCCCAGAGCTGAACACAGCCCTTCATATGGATCCTCACCAGAGCAGAGTAGAGGGGAGAAGCACCTCTGCTGACCTGCTGCTCATGCTTCTTTTGATGCAGCTGGCTTTGTGGGCTCCAAGTGCACATTGCTGGCTCATACTAAGCTTCTCATCAACCAATGCCCCCAAGTCACACAGATCCAGAGCAAAGCTTTTGGAGTTATATCTCCTGACCTACTCTAAAGGGTCCAAATAATCTCCTAGGGCCGTATATTTCACAAACCTCTCTTCATTTTAGGTGCTCTCTTTCACCCTGGGTGCCTGTGCAGCCCTGATCCATACCTGCCTGCAAGGACACCTCCCTGAAGGGCATCTGACTGCTCAGGGGACAGAGCATCAGAGCTTTTAGTCCCAATGTTGGACCATCAACCCACATGGGAGGCAGAGGTTGGGAGGGCTCAGTGGCCTGAGAGCAGCTCCCTGGGTCAGGGTCAGGGCTGGGAGATGGCTGGAGCAAGGCTCCCTGCAAGGGTGCTCATTGAAGCACTGCCTCAACCCTGCCAGGACATGTTTCCTTCTGCTTTGGAGGGTGCTGCATGCCTTGCTGATGCCCATTAACAAGTGACAACAATAACCCTGGCTCCCTGGCACACAGACACTGCCTGCAAGGGCTAATGGTGCCAAAGGGACTCCTGGAAGCAGCAGCCTCTCCACGGGGTGCTGGCATGGTTGTATCAGATGGGCTCCAGCAGCTGGGACGAGCAGCACAGCTCCCTCCATCTCATTCCTTCTCTTCCACTGATGCCCTGGTGCCACTGCACCCAGCTCTCTGACCTGGCTTAGGGTACCTGAGAAGCAGATTCACAAACAAACTTGCATTCCCTCTTCCCTCTCCCACGTCAGCACTAGCAGCTGAGGCTGGAGAAGGGCTGTTTGCTGCTTGTGTCCCTTCCCAGCTCCCCAGCTCTGCCTGCAGGGTTTGGGTTTGCTCCCTGGAGCTGTGTGCCTGCCTTTAGTCAAGCTACCTGATGACCATCAGTTGGGGGAAAATGCACAAAACAAAATTAAAAAAAAATAAATAAATGGGGAAATATTTATGAAGTGGGAGATTTATGGAATATAAAAGGCAACAGGCTGAACAAAGGCCCAGGTCTGTGCAGAAGACAGGCACTCTCTGAATAACAAACAGTGTCGTTTAGTTACTATGGTAACTCCAGAAACACAATGAAAACAGCCACATTCCCTAATGATGAAGGGGCCCTGGCTCTGAAAGGCAGAAATAAAGCTGCTGGAGATGCCCAGCACACCTTCCCCAGCCACCTTACCCTGTACTCCATGTCGTAGCTGGGCAGGATGATGCGGCCTTCCCTCCACTCCTCCCCTTGGTCCTGGGCGATGACCCACAGCGCCTTGTGCTCCTGGCTGGCCTCCCGCCAGACCCGCAGCATCACCCCGCTGCTGCCCCACGCCTGGTACTGGAACACCATGCAGACGGCGCTGTGGGGCAGGTGGATGGTGGGGCTGAGGAGCCGGGCTCGCTGGGCTCCCCTCCTCCCGCTGCTGCGCAGCTGCAGGTGACTCCTGCTGGCTGTGCAAAGACAAAACACCACCGCGTTACCTTCTGTGGCCACCTGGAACACATCAGCTCGGAATCGCAGCTCCTGCCTCGGCTGGGGCAGTGCTGGGCAGGCTCTCACACCCACGTCTGGTCTTGGTCAAAGCAAGCGGGGTCTCCTGTGGGCTGCTGTGCCCTGGGAGGAGCACGCTGCCCCCACCAGCCACCACTGTCTGGCAGGAGACTGGCAGCAAAACCAGAAAGCAGCAAACCAAAGATTGACATAATTTGGAGAGTTTAAAGAGCAGTTATTGTCAGAAGAAGTGATGCCATGATAACGGCACTGGCGGGGGTGTGTGATTGCTATTCCACTGGGAGCTTGCTCAGTCAACAAGCCTGAGGTGGCTTTTTCTCACTGCTAGTGCTGGAAACTCATCTTGGGATGAGGATCTGAGGCTGTGTTCATCCTGCCTCTTCGCACCCCCAGCGGTAAATACTCCACAAACAGGACCCAGCTCACAATTTTGTTTTGAGGGTATGCACAACAAAATGAAAGCCTGGCTCTCCTTTTCTCTGGAGTGTGGCAAAGCAGCCCCTAAAGCACAGCACAGGGGAAGGATGTGGTCCTGGGGAGGGGAGCATGCACAGCTGACAACCAGGTAGCTGCAAACTTTAAGGCAGCTGAAACACATACAGCAGGGGATTCACTTGCTTAATATTGCATTTAAGTTGTGTCATGCTTTTGTCAGTCCTTAGGGAGGAGATTTGGTATGTTTGGTATCCCAGGAGAAGTTCAAGGCTGAGACTGGGGCTGGACATACTTCTTCTGAATACCAAGAGCAGCAAAAGCCCATGGATACAAATCCCTGGGTAGGGCTGGTTTGGTCTGGAATGAGGGGTTTCCAGCCCTCTGATGAGAAGCCTCCTCAGGGAATTTCTCATTTGCAGCTTGGATACCTGAAGTCCCTTAGCACAGACTGATCTGATCCTTACCTGCCCCCCCAGTGACCAGTGGCAGGGCAGAGTCCCTTGGGCTGCTGTGACTGCAGTGCCTGCAGTACAAGGTGACATGGACAGGCCTGTGACAGATGTTGCTGTATTCTGCATTTCTTGCTACCCTGGACAAGTGTCACCAGTGCTTCATGCCAGCACGTGTGAGCCCTCCTGCAGCCCAGGGGGGTTACCTCTGCCCCAGCACCACACCTAAAGGTCTGCCCCTTATTTTCTCCACATCTCAGCCTGCTGCACTCGACAGGCAAAGCTGTGAGCAGCACCTTGCCTTCTGTTTGCCCTGCTCCCTCTGGGGCTTCAGTACCCAAAGCAATGGCAGGACAGCAGTGCCTGCACTGAGAACGTTTGCAAAGTGCACTTGAAACACCCCCAAAACTTAAACCAGAGAGACCTGAACTTAAGAGCCCAGTTCCTGAGCATGGAAAGATGGGTCTCATGCAGAAAACAGCAGCTGACCTCGCTGCCATTCAGCAATCTGGTGGCATCCCAGCCCAAGGGAGATGTATCACTGGGGGCACAGCCACTGGCCCTGCCACAAGTTCATCACTGCCAGAGAGCTGAGCTGAAACCAACCACCGTGAACTACACAGCTTTCTAAAATGAATTTAGGACAAGAGAGGAGAAACATTTGCCATCACTCTACTCCTGGGAGAGATGATCAAAAACATTTCAAAAGCGTATCCAGTCCATATGAACTTGCACTGATTTTGCTGCATGAAGGACAAATCTGTCCCTGACCAGCCACATAAAGAAAGAGCAAGGTTTCCCAGCAAGATTTCCCATCGCCTGTGAAATGTACTTGGGCCACTTGGCACTTTGTGCCAACAAACAGTAGCAGAAAAGGAAGATGAAAGTGTGTTTGCCCACTCCTGCCTGAGTGAATCACTTGAAAAAGTACCATGCCGTTCTCTAATGGAGGAGTGTTCTTCTGATTTACCTCAGAGTGGTCGTGGTGGAGGAGGAGATGTGGGAGATAAACAAGTGGAGGAAGGAGAAAAAAAAAAAGCACAAGCTGTACTCCATGCCTAAGGAGTGATAAGGTATAATAAGTCATCAAGGTCTCCTGAATTAAAATCCTCTTTTTGTAATTCACGACAAGCCTCTTCAAAGGAAAAAAAGCAACAACAACGAGAAAAAAGCAGCAACAACAAAGAAGGTGGAAGAGCAAATCAGACTGCAATCATACAATTAGCTCACAGCTGAAATGGTTTCACATGCAAATCTTTCATAAAAGCACCAGCCAGGCTCAAGAATGATCAAATCCAGATCATCAAAGTTCAGGACCGCTCTTTAGTGCCAATATCTAGGCAGCCTGGTTGAGTGCAGGGGCACAAGCTATCCTGGGATGCACCTAAGGTCCACAGCTGACCACAGGAGACTATGGCAACCCCTGGCCCAGGCTGCCCAGGGCAGTGGCAGAGTCCTCATCCCTGGAGGTATTTAAAAGCCAGGCAGATGTGGTGCTGAGGGACATGGTTTGGTGGTGACCTGGCACTGCTGAGTTAGCGGTTGGACTTGATGATCTTAAAGCTCTCTTTCCACCTAAATGATGCTGTGATTCTATGTTAACTGTGTAGCTGGACACCCCCACAGTCCGTAAGACTATGGCAAACCCTGGCCCAGGCTGCCCAGGGCAGTGGCAGAGTCCTCATCCCTGGAGGTGTTTAAAAGCCAGGCAGATGTGGTGCTGAGGGACATGGTTTGGTGGTGACCTGGCACTGCTGAGTTAGCGGTTGGACTTGATGATCTTAAAGCTCTCTTTCCACCTAAATGATGCTGTGATTCTATGTTAACTGTGTAGCTGGACACCCCCACAGTCCGTAGCCCTCACTGCTGGTGGTAGCCAGTGTCACTGCTTCCAGCACTTCAGCAGAAGAGCCTGTGTGCCTCTGAGTCACATCCCTCCTGCCAGGGATGACACCAACCTCCTGTTTGTTCCCATTCCTACCAGGCTGTGAAATCAAAGAAACTCCTGAACAGCAGGCAAAGCCAATGCCCCCCCAAACACACAGCCTCCTTCAGAGCCACGGGAGCTCTCCCAAGCCCTGCAGCTCCTGTGCTTCTTGCTGGGGCCCTCAGAGCTCTCCAGGACCTAGCAGCAGTCCCAAGGGCTGCAGAGAGCCTCTGCCTTTGGGTGATGGGCCCAACTGTTCCTCTGTGAGTAGCAATGGGTTTGGGTACCACGTGCTCTTGAGCCCGGTACTGGTTTCTGGAGTTTGAGCACAAGCAGACCTGATTTTCTGTGTTATTTCAAGATGAAATGGCTGGATCACTCTAATGGCTAGTTGGACTTTCTAAAAAGCCCCACGAATTTGCTGAGACTGACTGAATAAGGGCACTGTGGAGCTAATTTTTGGAACAGCATGCGGGAGCCCGGTGGTTCCAGTAGTCACTCTGTTTGATACAGTAAATGGAAGCCTTTGGCACAGAAAGCACCTGAAAGGCTGATTTTCCCCTGTTAAAACACTTGAAGGGAGCCTTGCAACGATGAGCTGATCAATTCTTCCAGGATCAGAAATGCATTTTAATCTCTTTCCCAGAACTTTGCTTTGCAGTGTCTGTTCCAGCCAACACGAGAGCTCCATCCCCCACGGACCCGGCACTGGCACTTCAAAGTGCTGTCTCAGAACAGGCAGGACAAACCTGCTCGGGCATTTTAACCTACTGCTGCTTTCCTAAGCAGTGCTACAGCACAGATCTCATGGAAGATTTATGGGATCATCTGGATGTAGGGGAGCCAGAGGAGCGTGCAGACGCAATCATCCCCAGCCAGAGGATGGCAGAGTTGCTTGTACATGCACGGCAGTGAGGCTCAGATAAATCACCAGCAGGGCCCTGCAAACCAACCATCTGGCCAACGCAGCTTCCTCTTGGCTGGCCTGCCCCTCCTGCCAGCAAGCCATCTGAGAGGACATTAGGGGCAGCAGGGGATGAAGTGTTGTGGTTTGGGTCAGGCTGCAAGCACC